GTACAAAAGAAGGTGCCAGGACTTTACCGCCATTTTGATTGGTCATCGGATTCCGCCATGAAGGTTGCCTCCGGAAGCCACAAACAGTGTGGCTCCAGTGACGAACCAGAAGTCACTCTACTTGTCCCATGCGCTACTTGGAAAATGAAAAGCAGCAACTATCGGCCTGGAAGGGTAGCAGGAAATTCATTCCCTGCAAAGGGCTGAGGCGTCAGATCGAGGTCAAGGTACAGAATGAGCTGGCGGATAACCCGCTACACACTCAAACGAGGAGCACCCGAGTTGAGGGAAACCCGTAACGAGCAAGCTCTACATGATTTAGTACACCCAAACCAGCCTTGGTTCCAGTTCCCTGTCAAGAGAGCCAGGTACTCATCTCAACGATGAATTGTACATACTGCCTGCGCTCCAACCACGAAAATGTCAACTGCTACGTCCTACAGCGCCACCTACAAAATGGCCAGGTAAAGGCAGGAACGGTGCTCCCCGCCAACTTTAAACTGAAACTTCGTCGAATCAATCTCGACAGCATCCTTACAAGGACAGCTTTGGCAGCAAGTCACGGAATCATAAACGGAATGACTACAAGAGCAACCAGAACAGCAATCTTGGAAGAACCGAAAGAGAAAACTGAGGCGTTAAAGAATACATCCCCGGTGAAAACGCCGGATGGGGAAAACAAAGCAGATCCGGCGCCGGAAGGAAAAGGTACGGGAAACCAACAGCTGCATTCCTATGTGAACGCCCGCTCTTACGAAGGCTGGATTGACGAAGCGGTGGAGGATTACTCCCGCAAAGGCGGCTTTAAAGATTTGCCGGGTGCGGGCAAACCGCTTGTGATCGACGATGACGACGATTTGTATAAGCGGACGGTCAAAAATTCGAATTATATTCCTTCTTGGCTGGAGCAGCGGAAGCAAATCGCCGAACGGATGAAAGGGCTTATAGAACGCGGGGAAACCGGAGACGCACTGGTCGTTGTTTAAGCAACAGCTGCGCACGCGCTTTCGACCAAAGGACTTCGAGTATGATCTTCGCGAGAGAATGTTTCGTCTCAAACAGACCGAGACTATTCACGAGTATGTATCCAAGTTTCAAGACTTGCTGTCGCAGACATAATTGACGATCAGTGAGTTAGAGAAACGATTATTCTTTCAAAATGGGTTACGTGAAGAAACAGCAAAGAAGATCAAAGAAGAGAGTCCAGCAACGCTACAAGAAGCCATTGAAATTGCTTCGAACTTCGAGTTTGCGCACTACTCCGGGAAACCTCCTCGAGCACCTTCGAAGCCTTCAAAAGGGTCGTCAGACTCGGGGCATCATCCGCCTAAATCGAAACAGCAGAACAACAAGCGTTACGAAAAGAAAAAGGGCAAGAACGATGATTGGAAAAAGACAGCTACGTGCAGAAATTGTGACAAGGTTGGTCACATTGCTCCAGATTGTACTCAGCCAAAACGTACGGAAGCAAACCGGTACATACAGGGCGCAGTGTATGCGATCCTAGAGGCTGAAGCTCGAGCATTCAGACAAGAACGAAGGTGGCCCACTTTTCCGGAATCTGTATGATTTTGCACCATGCTATCGACGAAGAGCACTATCTTTGTAAACGAGATTTTGTTGTGAGGTCATGGCGTGGAGCGGGTATGCTATCTCCTCGGTTTCGACGTGTGGCAAATCACATTATTTCGCAGTGGATAATTAAAGCCCGCTTTTCGCACTGGCAAGCTTTTCATATCCCCACAGGCTACGCGGCTACTAACAACCTGCTTGAGCAGTACCACTACACCTTAAAGCTTGTGAATGACAGCAAACGGGCTAGCCCGGCAGAGCTTGTAGTCCGCCTGGATTTGTCACGAGTTTCGTTTATCTCCTCGATGCAACCCTTTTGCGATCAGCCTACTGTATCCAAACGTTTACTGGCTACTCACAGGAGGATTAATTAAAAGGTCATGACTGCCGAATTGATTCACCGATACAACAACTTAGTTTTGGTTCGTGTCGCACCATCTCCGCTTCCCACGAGTTCATCACAAGAACCATGAGAATTTGTCCACCCTACTGCTGCAAAAGTTAAAAAGACGAGGCCATAAACTACGCTAGAATAAGCTGGGTCAACATGCCCGTCGGTGGATAGATTGTTGATGCTACTGCACGCACGTGTTTATGTCTGTGCTATAAGAAAGTTGGGATATGCCTACACGTTGTTAAGGCAACCGGATTTGCTGGGGTTGCATGTCCTGGCATGCCAGCTCCTTCACAAAGATTTGTGCGGCTGGAACAACAATCGCGCACTGCAGCTCGGGGGATTGCGAATGGCGACGTAGATACAGACAAGAACGAAGGTGGCCCACTTTTCCGGAATCTGTATGATTTGCACCATGCTATCAATGAAGAGCACTATCATTGTGTAAACGAGATTTTTTTTGTGGGTCAAACGTTTGAACTGCTATCCAATCTCCTTGGTGAAAACACAAAAAAACTAGCCAAACATGGCCGTCGGCCAATGAAGCTGTGCGAACGTCATTAGGTAAGAGCACTGAAGCGTTAAAACCCAGCATT